TACTTTTATTTTATTCCTATTCCTGGGGCTGGCCCCCTCTGTCCCCTTCCAACCTATATACCACGTAGACCATCAAAGAGCTGCTGCATGGTTCCCCCCTCGTCTCCTGTGTGACTCCCACCATCCTGTATCCTTTTGTCTTCCACAACTCCCTGGGTCTCCCGTAACCCCCTGTGTCTCCTATGATCTGTGCCTCCCACATCCCCTGTGCCTCTCACTATTTCCTGGCCTACAGTAGGGCATTCTGCTGGTCTGACTCCTATAATTCCCTTTGCTTCCCACAATCCCCTGTGCCACTCATGATTCTCTGTGCCTCCCACAATCTCCTATGTGCACAGTTAGCAGATAGTGTCCCCTAAGTACCCCCTTGGGTCCACTGGTTCTCCATGGCTGACTGAATTGGCCCTTCTCCTTAGCCTGGCCACCAAGGGACAGTGGGACCTGCGCTAGTGAACTCCTGGGTAGGACCTAAGCTTAAAACCAGGTTCTATGACTGCCTTCAGTAGAGGCATGGCTGAGGTGCTGTCTCAGTCCCTGCTCTGTCCCCAAGTCCCATCTCTGGCATTCACTGACTTGTTTGTTTGTGTATTTCTCAAACACGCCGTGAGTGAATGATTCTGAAGTCTTATCTCCTCAATCCCATGCTGAGCTCCTTCGGGCCTTGCCCCTTGTCTGATGTGAGCAGTCAGTAGCATCTATGTCTTGTGCTCAGCGTAAACACTGCCAGACTGGAATTGCGTCTTACCCACACTAATCCCCTGGCCTGACATTTGGACCTTAGGAGGTGATGCAGAAATTGAAGTGGGGCAAGACTAAAAGAGGGACAAAGGGGACAGCATGCTACTCTCTCAGGAGTCAGGTGTGACCTTAAGACCATTGATCAAAGAACTAGTTTGGCATCCGGCTCAGTAAATTCCAGAGGAATCGGTGACTATATGATGGAAGACAAACCGCACACCAATTCTATTCTCTGCCTGGGTCTATAACAAAAGTGAAACAGAATGCAGTTGCTCCCAGGACAGAAAGCAAGTTAATTAAGTTAATGTTCAAACAATTCTGTATAATAAACACTTTTAATTCAGGATAAATCTTAGTTGAGTCTATCAGTGGTTAAATGTGCAGGTAGAGGACATTGAAGAGGAAATGACAAGCATACAGAAAGTTTTGTTGGAAGGAGCTAGTGGACAGATCTGGGGGGTACCCAGGTTGGAGGGGAGTGCAGTAAATGCCCCCCTGTGCAAGACAGTGGGGGGAAAGCAATGGGGTGGGGGACAAGGGGAAGAAAGTGACCTATACTGAATGATAAGGGAGTGGTTCGTGAGAAAACTCTCCATCAAAGTGGGGACTATGAGAATCACACTCAGAGGGACAGGCACACAAGCCCCGATGCATCAGAGAAACAACACCCAAGACTTACAGCTGAACTTCCCAGCCTAACACTGGACTTACAGGAAGACAGAGGAAACATTATTACAGTGACCCAGGGGCTCAGAATTTCCTGCCAAGTCCCATTTCAAAAACCCTAAGCAAGGAGCTATGTTGCTTTGTGAACTATTTCACAGAGCTGACCTTAGCTTGCAAGAAAATTATAGCAGAGACCACTAACTTGGGGTGTGTTTGAGATTGTCCAGAGTATGTGGCTCCTTTAACCCTTAAACATCCTAGGTGACTTTGAGATTACCCTGAAAAGCCTCATGAGGCTCCTGGGGATCTGGGGAGAGGGGAGGGAGAATTATGTGATACTAGCCCAAATCCTGGTAGAGAGCTACCTAGGATAGAGCATGAACAAATGATTGAATGCATCCAGTAAGTCCTTTCTTCGAGTGGCTTTTCACAAAATGACTTTGCTTTTTCCAAATGAGGTCTCTGATGATCAGGGAAGAGGGGTGCAGTCAGAATTCCTTTATTTTAAAAAAAATTTGTATTTTAGAGACAGGATCTCTCACTCTGTCACCCAGGCTGGAGCGTAATGGCATGACCATAACTCACTACAGCCTCAGGCTCCTGGGCTCAAGCAATCTTCCTTCCTCAGTCTTCAGAGTAGCTGCGACTACAGGCACTCACCACCATGTGCAGCCCAGAATTCCTTTTACTTTTAGTTTCGTAGAGATGAGGTCTCACTATGTTACCTAGGCTGGTCTTAAACTCCTGGGCTCAAGTGATCCTCCTGCCTCAGCCTCCCAAAGTGCTGGATTACAGGCGTGAACCACCCTACCCAGACCAGAATTCCTTTAAAGTCATGAAGGGTTAGAAGAAGAACTAAGGTTGGCCCCTGTCTTCTGAGGATCTGTGGGCTGTGGCTCAATCTTTGGCCTGGGCATTGGGTCTTGTTGTGTGAAGGACTCTGCATTCACAAGGTAGCTCTCACTTCTCCTTCTCAGGACAGGAGGCCCAGAATCTTGCTGCTACAGAGCTCTGTTCTCAGGGGTCCTGCACGAGCTCTGGCAGAGATCTGCTCTCTCCTTCAGTGTCCTTATGCTCACTTTGAGCAAAAATGCTCAAGGTGATCAATTGGTGATTTGTAGAGCACAATGATGGAACAGCTGGGGAAGAACACGGACAGGTGGAAAGAGGAGAGGCTCTAAAGTTCGGCAATGGAGCCCAGAGTTTTGAATTCCTCTTGGAAGAGTGAGGTCCCGGGCACTGGAACCTGGCTTCCTTAGCATGCATGTGGCAGGGAGAGCTGCAGCGGGCAGTGAGTTGCTTTTAGAAAAGTGTCCTTCCTGGCTTGACACATGGTATCAGCTGTGCCTTGACCTGTTTGTTTGTTTGTTTGTTTATTTGAGACGGAGTCTCACTCTGTGGCCCAGGCTGGAGCGCAGTGGCATGATCTCGGCTCACTGCAAGCTCCACCTCCCTGGTTCACGCCATTCTCCTGCCTCAGCCTCCCGAGTAGCTGGGACTACAGGTGCCCGCCACCACGCCCGGCTAATTTTTTTGTATTTTTAGTAGAGACAGTGTTTCACCGTGTTAGCCAGGATGGTCTCAATCTCCTGACCTAGTGATCCACCCGCCTTGGCCTCCCAAAGTGCTGGGATTACAGGCATGAACCACTGTGCCCAGTCAACCTATTTATTTATTTTAAAATCAGAATAAGAATAATCAAAGATGTTTTCAGGATTTAATAATAATAACACTTAGTGGTGTTTACCCTGGGCTGGACACTATTCTAAGTTTATGTATATTAATTCATATAATCCTCATAGTGACCTTAGGAAGCAGGTACTACTATTAACACAAATTTATAAATGGAGGCACAGATAGTTAAGTACCTTGTTCAAGTTCCTACAACTAGTGAGTGGCAGAGCTGGGGTCTGAACCTAGACAATCTAGCTCCAAGGTCGATGCTGTTAACAACTAGCCAGTTGTTTGTCAAATACGAAGGGGGGCAGAGAGTAAGAGGCATTCAAGTTATATTTCAATCATTTTCAAACAAATAATTTTCCCCACATTTTAACATCTCTATAATCTGCATACAGGTTTTTGCTATGTTAGCCAGGCTGGTCTCGAAATCCTGACCACAGATGATCTGCCCGCCTCTGCCTCCCAAAGTGCTGGGATTACAGGCGTGAGCCACTGCACCTGGCTGGTTTACTTTTTAACCTCCTCTCCTTTTTTCTCAAACCCTGCCTCCGTGGGGCCTTGTTTAATCACACTATCTGGAGTCTCTTCCCAAACCTCGCTATCTGCTTCTCTGCTTTTCTTTATTTTGTGGATTGATTGTCTGCTGCTTCTGGATGTGAGCTCTAGGAGGGAAGGCATTTTAGTCTGGTTGTGTTTCTTATTTGTTAGTTTTGCTGCTGTGCACCTGGTATCTAGAATAGATATCAGACACCACAGACATGGTGGCCCCCAACAAGTAGTTCTTAAATGAATGAATAAATGAATGAGGAATGAGGACTCGCTGGAGATTCTTGTTTGGTGTTTAAAGAAGGTTCACTCTGAGATTATTTGCTCATCCTTAGAAGCGGGAGGCCGTGGAGAGAGAGAGACGAGGTGGAAGGTCCACGGCCCTGCATTCTAGGCCTTTGCTCATTAGAAATCCAAGGGCAGTGGCCAATCTCTGGAAAAACTATGACAGAAAATAACATTTGACAGAATGCCAGAGACCATCTAGATAAATTTTGTCAATTAAAAAAAAATGAGGAAAGAAAAAAACAAATGCAAGCACGAATTTTTACTAAATCCTAGGTTTAAAAAAAAAACAAACTGCTATTAAAGAGAATTGGGGCATAATTGGGAAATCTGAAACTAAGCTAAATGGGCCGGGATGGTGGCTCACCTGTAATCACCAGTAATTCCAGCACTTTGGGAGGCCGAGGCAGGTTGATCACCTGAGGCCAGGAGTTCGAGACCAGGCTGGCCAACATGGGGAAACCCTGTCTCTACTAAAAAATACAAAAATGGCCGGGCGCGGTGGCTCAAGCCTGTAATCCCAGCACTTTGGGAGGCCAAGACGGGCGGACTCTGGCTAACATGGTGAAATCCCGTCTCTACTAAAAAATACAAAAAATTAGCCGGGTGTGGTGGCCGGCGCCTGTAGTCCCAGCTACTCGGGAGGCTGAGGCAGGAGAATGGCGTAAACCCGGGAGGCGGAGCTTGCAGTGAGCTGAGATCCGGCCGCTGCGCTCCAACCTGGATGACAGAGCGAGACTCCGTCTCAAAAAAAAAAAAAAAAAAAAAAAAAAAAAAAAAAAAAAATTAGCCAGGCATGGTGGTGGGCACCTGTAATCCCAGCTACTTGGGAGGTTGAGGCAGGAGAATCACTTGAACCCAGAGGCAGAGGTTGCAGTGAGCTGAGATCACGCCACTGCACTCCAGTCTGGGTGACAGAGTGAGACTCCATCTCAAGGGAAAAAAACAAAGAAAAAGGAAATAAGCTAAATAGTAGGTGCTATTAGAGAATTACTGTAAACTCAGCTCTGATAATGGTACTCAGGTTAAGTAGAATACTCCTAAATTCTTTGGGGATGTGTGCTGAAGTGTTTAGGGAAGAAATATCACCATGTGCACAATTTATTTTCAGCTGCCTTCTAAGAGCAGGCGCGGCTTATTCACGTGATGGCTCTCTCCCATGATCACTACCATCAAGCCCCTGCCCCTCCGCACCACCAGTGTTCTGGACGTGTTTCCGGCCGTAAGAAGAGGAACTTTCGTGGGAGAAGGTGATGCGTGTGTGAATGCAGAGATGAAACCAGGACTCGCTGTCAACATTCCATTTTCACTTGGGTCCTGACTTGTGACCTTGAGTTGAAAGTGATTTTGATTCTCTTAATAACAAATCTGAGGCTGCAGCAACCCAGCTTCCTTCCAGCCCCGCTGGGCTTGGCCTGGTCCCTGCACATGGCAGATTAACCTTCTTTGTTCTCTTTACTGGTAGAGTAAATAACCAGTTAGTCCGTACAGCCCATGCCCTTTGTCATTTCTCTATATCCAACTTTTTTTTTCTATTTACTTTTTTCTTATTTTTAGAGATAGTGGCCTCGCTATGTTGTCCAGGCTGCAGTCAAATTCCTGGGCTCAAGGGACTCTCTTGCCTCAGTTAACTGAGCTATTCACGATTAAAGATGAATTCATCTCTAGTGTCACTTGAGGTTTCAGAGCAAATGACGAGCAAGTATTCTCAGCTTTACTACACAGAGAGCAAACTAAAGCCTCAGAAATATGAAGTTATTTTTGTCCAAAGGCAAAAATCCAAATGGCAAAGAGTCTTGAATGAGACCCAGGATCCCCAGTCCCCAAACTTCAGCATTCCTCATGGCAAAAGTTTGACATTCTTCATTGGAAATTATCAATTTCTTTTTTTCCATTTGACGAAGTCTGCAGCCTATGGCAGGAAAATGAGAAAATCATGGAGCAAATCACCCACAATGATTGGAGCCTGCTTCCAGCTGCAGCTACTGGAAAGGTACCTGATTTTGGTTTTCACTGTTGGTGAAGCCCAATTTTGCAGCCTGTATCTGAATATACACATTAGGGATCTAGACTTTCTAAGTTAAACTTCAACCTTCCAAGACTCACATCTACCTTATTTTTTAAAAAGGCACTCACCTTTATTTCTTAAAAAATAAAAAGTCACTTTTTTTTTCTTTCCAGGACAGAGTCTTATTCTAGTGCCCAGGCTGCAGTGCAGTGGCACGATCTCGGCCTACTGTAACCTCCACCTCCCAGGCTCAAGCAATCCTCCTGCCTCAGCCTCCCAAGTAGCTGGGACTACAGGTACATGCCACCATGTCCAGCTAATTTTTGTAGTTTTTGTAGAGACAGGATCTCACTGTGTTGCTCAGGCTGCTCTCAAACTCCTGAGCTCAATCAATCTGCCCACCTCGGCCTACCAAAGTGCTAGGATTATAGGTCTGAGCCACGGTGTCTGGCCAAAAAATCACTTTTAAAGGCAGCTGAGGTAGAGTTGTGTGATTTGCCAGAAGTTTGATAAACATTCCTGTCTCTGAAATTCAGAATCCTTGCAAGTACCGTGGCTGGGAATGTAAAGAAAATCATCTGAAAGCTGAACATCTGTCTTCATCCCGGTTTTCTAAATGAAGGGAAAACCATCTCAGCAAAAATGCTGATGAGAGGGACCCGGACAATGTGGGACGAGGCCTGGGGGTGGAAGGGATTTGTCCTGCCCTTTGAAAGAACGTCTTTGAAAGAATATCTTTGAAAGAATGTCTTTCTTTCAAAGGGCAGGACAACGGGGAGCTCTGAGGAATCTGTTTCACTTTAAAGGAGAAAAAACAACAGTGTTCTCTTAAAAAAAAAAAAAAGGCACTCACCTTTATTTCTTAAAAAATGAAAAGTCACTTATTTTTTCTTTCCCAGAGTCTTATTCTAGGGTCCAGGCTGAAAAAAAGTACTGTGCACTTTTCAGAATTTCTTTTCAGAATCAGGATGGCTGAAATCAGGTGAAGCAACTTAAAAACTGCATAGCAAGTTTGCAAAGGCAGTGCCAACACTGCAGTGCCAGAAATGCGACCATAAAAAAAAAAAAATCCCATTGACACCATATTTATCTACTAACGCTGGGGAGCACAGGACTTTGGCGATTTCCAGACGGCCCTCGGGATGTTTTTCTCGCCTCGGGGTGCCCTGTTTGGGCTTTTCCCATAGGAACTGGAGACCCATCCCCCAGCCCTGTTGGAGGGCCCTGACTTCTGTAGGACCAAGTGTGCAGGATCTCTCGGGTGGTCATAGGCAACCTGAAGGAACTTAGTCCCCCCAGGAACCTAGGGAGCATGCCAGGAACAAACAGTGGTACCCACTCCCTGGGCTCATTTCTTGAGTTCAGCTCTTCGGCAAGAAAAAAAAAGGCCGTTAGTATATTTTGTTTTTCATTTTTACCTGAAAAGAAATATGACAATTAACAGGAAGTATGACACTAGCAGGATGACAATACCTGCTAGTGAAATTAAGGCCACCCAGCTCCTCAGATCATCATCAACTGGAATGACCAGACCTCACTTCAGGTTGCATTTATGTTTACTAGAGAGAGCAACGAGGAGTTTCCTTTTAAAGAATAAGAAAGCAGAATAGCAATGTGGTGAAACCTCATCTCTACAAAAAAGTACAAAAATTAGCCAGGTGTGGGCACCTGTAGTCCTAGCTACTGGGGGGGCTGAGGCAGGGGGATCATTTGAGTCCAGAAGGTCGAGGCTACAGTGAGCTGTGATCACGTCACTGCACTCCAGCCTGGGTGACAGTGAGATCTTGCCTTAGAAAAAAAAAAAAAGAAGAAGAAGAAAGAAAGGGAGGGAAGGAAGGAAGGAAGGAAGGAAGGAAGGAAGGAAGGAAGGAAGGAAGGAAGGAAGGAAGGAAGGAAGGAAGGAAGGAGATAGAAAGAGAAAGAGAGATTGAGAAGGAAAGAAAAAGAAAGAAGAAAGAAAGAAAGAAAGAAAGAAAGAAAGAAAGAAAGAAAGAAAGAAAGAAAGAAAAACAAAGAAAGAAAAACAAAATAACAAAATGACCCTGAGAAGGAAAAGAAATAATCAGAGCATAAAAAATAATCGCTGATGGCTGGACATGGTGGCTCATGCCTGTAATCCCAGCACTTTGGGAGGCCAAGGCGGGAAGATCAACTGAGGTCAGGAATTTGGGACCAGCCTGGCCAACATGGCAAAACCCTGTCTTTACTAAAAGTACAAAAATTAGCCGGGCGTGGTGGGCACCTGTAGTCCCAGCTACTCAGGAGGCTGAGGCAGGAGAATTGCTTGAACCCGGGAGGCAGAGGTTGCAGTGAGCTGAGCTCGCACCACTGCACTCCAGCCTGGGTGACAGAGTGAGACTCCATGTCAAAAAAATAAATAAATAAAAAATAAAAAGCAATAATAATAGCCGACAACAGAATACAGCTAGGCCGAGCAGCAGCCTCCTCTGCTGTCCGTGCGCTCGCATGTTGCCTGCTTCACTGCCTGACTGTGGGCTCTGTTTGTCTTGGTCCCCGTGGCATTACCAGAGCTTAGCAGATAAGGAGGAGCTTCATACATAATTGTTGGCGTGAACAAAGGAATGCATGGTAACCATGCATTCAGAAATGACCAGTTCAAGAGGAGAATGAGATTGGCTTCCAAATATTGGTCAAGAGCTCTACAAAGCACGAGCTAAGGATCTTAGTAGGCTCCTGTGACCGGTGACTCTTCTGGCTCTAGAAATCTGGGGAGGTGACCAGGTCATACATGGCAGTCTTCCTGTGAGGAACGTTAAACTGGTTGGAACTTGGGGTTCTGAGGGGAAGATGTACTCACCAGTTGACCTGCCTGTTCTGCCTCGGTGGCCTCCATGGCTGCCTGCTGGCCGCACGCCCCCACTCAGCAGAGGAATGGACTTTCCAATCTTGCTGAGTCTGTTTGACCAAAGGTGATGCTGACTTAGTGGCCTAAGGTCGTGCCCTCCCTCCCCCACTGAATCGATAAATAATGCGACTTATCAGAAAGAGAAAGAATTGTTTACTTTTAAACCCTGGATCCCATAAAGGGAGAGGGGAGAAGCCTAAAGCCACAGAAGCTGTAGAAGGCGCCATCCTGCCTGTCACAGGAAGGCCCCTGGACTGAGAGGACTGGAGCTGACTGGGGGTAAGTGCGGCTCTCCCTGGGCGCCGGCCGACCCCCCTGAGTGATCAGGCTGTCCTTTGGGGTGGCCGCTGACTGAGAAATGATGGGAGGCTGCTGACCCCAGTGTCGAAAGAGATGCCACCCAGCACCTGAGCAGCAGGAGGTGTTGAACACACCGTCACTTTGTCTTCCATAATTTTTCTGATTCTTCAGAAAGCCTGAGGGAAACTGGAGACTTTCTTTAGAGAGAGTAACAAATGGTTTCCGTTTAAAGAAAAATAACAAAATGGCTTAAGGAGGAAAAGAAATGATCACCCTGCAGAGGGAGAGAGGATGAGGCTGGGGAGGAGCTGAGGGCTCAGGGACGGTGTGGGCTTTTATTTCTGCCCTTGGAGTGGCTGGACATTAAGCCAGTTCTTGTTTTTACGATGGCCTGATTGAACAATAACACCAAACCTTCACACAAAATGCCGGCATTAGAGTCATTCTTTTGGCATGCCTCTGTCCAAGTCATATTGTTCCCTCGACAGCACTAAAAATAGCCGGACACCTGTGCAGAAATGAAACAGCTCCTTAGGAATCCCCAAGTCTCAGCAATTCTCTTTAAAAGGAGTCCATGGAGGCCCTAACTTGGCCAAAAATGTACCCAGTGATTCCTTCTTCCCCACTGGTTGGTGAGAAACACAGGCAATTACAGGTGCCTGAATAGGGAACGTCCCAGATTTCCCTTCTTTTTTTTTTTTTTTTTTTTAATTTATTTATTATTATTATACTTTAAGTTGTAGGGTACATGTGCATAACGTGCAGGTTTGTTACATATGTATACTTGTGCCATGTTGCTGTGCTGCACCCATCAACTCGTCATTTACATCAGGTATAACTCCCAATCCAGATTTCCCTTCTAGATGGATTTCAGTGAGGAAAGAAATGCTGCTTTGCTCCCTGTTGACAAGAACGTTCTATTTTAAAATTTCCATGCACTTTCAAAATGACAACTCAGAAGTATAATACTGACTTCCTTTGTCATGCAGACTAACAGCCTAAAAGAATCAAATGAATGCATTTAACGCATCTATTTTAAATGGCAGTAAACGTGAATTCAGAGTAAAAAGCGTCTCCATTTATCTTTCACTTTTTGAGAAATCTTTTTTTTTTTTTTTTTGGTACTGATGGGTTAGGTTTGCAGCAAGGTGACGCTCCATAGTCCCCAAAGCACCCAAACCCCAGCGGGGTTGGCCCTAGAATGCTCTTAGCCCCTGGGAACAACATATTAAAGCAAAGACAAGCTGCTCGTGCCCAGATCTGACCTGAGAAAGAATAGGGAGTGTTGCGATATTCCTGGTACTTGTGAATCTAAGACGTCATGCTGGGAGCTGTGGGGCATACAGAATGCGTACAGAGTGATGAATTTGCTGGAGGGTCTGGCTTTGTAAAGGCTTCCTCCTTAATGAGCTTTTTTTCTCACTTATGAAAAGAAATGCAGGGCATTAAAAGAGTAGCAAACCAAATCTAGCCTGTTTTTCATACTCACAGGTCCAATGGGAAAGCTGCATTCTGAATTGGCCACAGCAGCTAGAGATGCCTAGAGTTTTCATCATGGTTGGGAAGACGAGGGCAGGAACATGACAACGCACAGAAATTTTGTGTGTGTATTTTCTTTAGAAATGGGATCTCAAACAACTGGGCTCAAGGGATCCTCCTGCCTAAGACTCCTGAGTAGCTGAGACTCCAGGAGAAATTCAGGATTAATAGGCAGCCATTCAGGAATGGCTAGCACTCAGCCTTTCTCAGGGAGATCTCAGGAAGTAAGGCATAAAGAGAGATGGTGGGAGATTTATGTGGATGGGATCAGGGGCCCGGGGAAGCTAAACAGAATCCCTCAAGGCCTTTTCTACACTGTGGAAAATTGTGCTGGCATTTGGACAAGTCACCCTGATTAATATCCAACATCTTTGCCTTAAGCATTATTTTTTCAAAGGAAATAATGTGTTAATACATCCCAACTTGTGTATAATGTTTCTGTTTGTTATTAGCTCGTACTATTTAAGTTCAGTTGTTAAATTTGAAAATACTAGAACATTAAAAATTTGCAAAATGAGAAATGATTATGTGAATTTTTAAAGTATTCAGAAGTGGATCCTGGCATTAACCACTTTTAATTTATTTTACTAGCGATATATTATTGGATAACTTTTTTTTTTTAAAAAAAAGAAGCCTTCTGCTTGCTTGTTTAAACTGCTTTATAAATTGATAGTTTAACCACTTCTGCAGAAACAAAAAAGTAATAAAAGATGATGGCCATTTTAGCAACGTTTAAAATTTGCTCACAAGACAAAATGATTGGCACTCAGTATGTGTTTAGTGATAGATGCAATAATACCGTAAAATTATTATACTGCATAATAAAGTATTTCACTAACAATTTGCTAAAAAATTAGCCTGAGGCCTGCCACTCAGCACAGCACTAACTTTTCATGCTTGTGACAAATTGTCTGTGAGTAGGGTGGGCTCCAACCTTCCCAATTTCAGGAGAGTATTTTGCAAGAAGGAATTTGTATTGAGAGTCCAGAAAGAAAATTGCTTAACATTTTTTAAATTCTCATTTTTCTCATTTAAAAAGTGCCACATGAATCATAAATTAACAAACGCACACAAAAGGAGAAAATAAAAAGAAACCATAATTTCTCTACTGAAAGATAACCATGGTTAACATCTGGTGTTTTGGCCTCAGGCATGTATGCATTTTTTTTCACAGAAAGGGACTCATACTGTGTATATTGTTTTATAAACTGCTTTTTAATTCAATAACATATATTGAATTTCTCTCCAAGTCTACCAGACTTTTCTACAGAATCAATTTAAATGATCATGGTATATCATAAATATATTACTCTTCTCCTATAGCTGGACGTTTAGGTTGGTTCCAATGTTTACCCTTATAAACAATGCCACTATGAGCAACCTTATAGGTAAATCTTTTTACAAATTTTTGACATTTTCCTGGAGATAGATTTCTGGGCCATAGAAATCGAGGTTGATTTGGGGCGGGGGAGTTGGTAAGATTTACCTGTAAAGGTTGATTTGGGGGGTGGGGAGCTGGTAAGATTTACCTGTAATGCATTAACTTCCTGAACTCTTTTCATCTTCCATCTGTTCCTTCCGTTTTCTGTCTTTTGCAGATCATTCAAAGCCAAAAGCCAACAGAGCCCCCATGGAGAAGTAGGGGATGCTCAGATGCTGCTATGGAGCCCTGAGAAGTGAAATGGACCCAAGCCCTTGCCCAGGATAGAGCGCTCCAAGTGCGTCCTCTGGGGACCCTTTTAACCAGTGCATTGTTCACCTCTCACTGTTTCTTCCCAACAGAGCTAAGAGACTTCTAGAGCTTCTTGTGAGAGTCAGCGATAGCCCTGGTATGACCAGGAGGTGGGGATTTCTGTTCTAGGTCCCTCAGCAAAGATTAAGCAGGCCAAGCCTGGCTACTGCGTTAGAGGCGCTGTAGGGAAAGGGAAGGACAAAATGGGCCACCACACACCTGCGTCCACTGCTGGGCAGCACCCAGAGTGCTGGCGGTTTGTGGCAGCGACTGGGGCCACCTAGAACAGTTCTAGGGTTCGTAGTCATTCTCTCTGAGTCATGGAAGACTGCCCAGGAGGCGAGTCCCACCTAAGAGAGTATGTCTAAATTTAGGCCACTGGCATGTCCTGCTGCCTTGCAAATGACGACATTTCATGAAAGAAAGCCAGGGCCACCGACAGGAATCAAGGAAATCAGTCACTTAGTGGAAGATAACGAATCCACAAAGTGAAAAGGGGAAAGAAAAAAAAGAGGCAACTTCAACACTCCAACCCCATGGGAGCAGACCGACTTTCAGCTTTTGCAGGGGGATGATCACAGCCTGAAGAGGGTGATTTCATGATCTACATGAGAATAAAGTGCATGTTTTTTTCTGAAAAATACAGAAGGGTTCATTTTCAGCTGTTAAAGATGGGTCAGTTTTAGGGCTAAAGCAAGGCTCTGGTCAGATGTTAACAACTCAGTTATCCTGGGGAAAAAATAACTGGCTCCCAACTCTCCCTTTTCAGCATTTGCAGGAAAAGAAGGAGTAGATAAATGCTTTATTTCCTCTCATTTTCCATGGTGGGCAGGAGTTCACATAACGATTAGAAACCATTTTTAACAGGAAAGCCAAGTAAATCCTGTAGGGATTTATTTGGAGCTCCCTTTTTGCTAGAAAATGAGTATCATGAACTAAAAATGGACTCATTTCCTCTCTCTCCATCTACCTCCCTTTCTTCTCTCCCCTCATCTCCCACCCACTGCTATGGTGGAAAATGACTGTGGTCAAGAAGATTGAACATTTGAGCAAGACCAGGTGCCTTTATATCCAATAGATGCACGGAGAGTAGATCACAACACATCTAACTGCTGTATCCCCATATAAAATAATTTTAATTTCCTAGACTGCAGAATTGATCACATTTACTGATGATGGATTGGGAAGTATGTGAGGAGGTAAGAGTTGGAGAGTGTTCATTCATTCGGTCAGATTATTCTCATTTATAATGTGGTCTTCCCCTAAATATTTATTTCCGGAAATCTATTCCCTCTAGAGATTCTCTCTCAGCCATTTTAGAAAATGTTTGTAAACAGAGTTCCTGTCCATTTTCACAGGACGTTTTTGCAGAAGGGGTTTGTTGGGTGGCAGTGGAACACAGGCAGTGGACCCCTTTACTACTACTCTACTGTTCCAGAACGTAGAAGCCTCTCATCTGTGAGTCTTCAGCTCTTCCCATTGCTCAAGATGCTTGCACCTGTGATGCTTCTTTTCTCTGCTCAGGTCACAATATGTGGAGCTGACAAGGTTCCCCTATTGTCAGTGACAATGGTGGAATGTGGAGGTGAAGTTGACACCTTCGTGGCTGCAGATTTTCCTTAGCAGAGCTGTGGAGTGTGACAATGGTGTTTGTGTCTAAACTATCAAACGCCATTATCACACTAAATAGCTACTACTAGGCAATCCTTCCCTCGATAAATGTCCTGGCATCGTTTGCTTTGAGCAAGAAGGTTCATCTAATTGTTCCCAATCTTGTGTACTTACTGAATAAAGTCTGGTTCTCTTGCACTCATAACCAATATGATTAGCTGAACCCTGCCTCTCACATGCTGTTGTTACATACCTTAGCTGGTGATGAATTTTCTTGTTTTCCCAAGTCAATAACAAGATTGCAGACCAGGTGCGGTGGCTCACGCCTGTAATCCCAGCACTTTGGGAGGCCAAGGCAGGCGGATCACTTGAGCTCAGGAGTTCAAGTC